TGGCAACATACTCAAACTCTGCTTTTCTGCATCTGTTTCAATTACACATCAATTGGTGTAATGTTGTTCCTTTTTTTTTATTAGTGTCCGCTGCAATTCCTACCTAGCATCTCTTTTTTATGTTTAAAATATTCCCTACAACATCTGTCGGGAGTAAAAGTAGGCTTTCTGTTAGCTACCGCTCTAATCTAGTTAGTAAGTTGAAAGAAGAAGGTAAATGTGACAGTTTTATTGCGGACTCTGCCAATTTTGAATTTCTTAACTATAGCTACTGCCAAAGTATTCAGTTCTTTCCACAGTTTGTGTGTCACAATTAGAAAATGTTGTACATACTCTTTAGCGGTGTTTTCTTCTATTGGTGGTTTTCTTTAACGTTTAATTATACTGGATATTGTTGTTTCTTTTTAAGGTTAAACTGGTTGGAAAAAGGGCAACCGTGGCGGGATGGGGTCGTACAAGACATGGACAAGCAACGGTACCCTCCGTTTTACAAGAAGTAGATGTTGAAGTTATACCAAACGATAGATGCCAAAGATGGTTTAGAGCGGCTGGTAGAAGGGAAACAATACATGACGTTTTCCTATGTGCTGGATATAAAGAGGTAAAAGAAGTAAAATGAAATAATTGATATGTACCTAGATGTTAGGATCAAAGACTGCCAACAACCATCACGGTTAGCAGTTTCAAAACGACCATTGCTAGCCTCCTCCTAGGTTTGATTTTCTTCGAAAATAGCAATCGAAAGATAATTAAGGAACAATTTAAAATTCTGTCGGGGTGAGGCGTTAATATATTTGCATACTGATAAAACTGATAAAATTGAATTAACACTCGGAAAACAAGAAACGAAGACGCTAATAAGAAAAAAAAATAGAACCGAGCACCTACAGAAAGAAAAGGATATCTTACTTATTGAAATATTTTTTCATTTTGAGGGCCTAACGTAACGGAAACCAGTAACGTAACGGACACTATAAATTGATATTCCAACTAGAATTTGCTTTAATTGAAAATTTTTAATTTCGTATGGAAAAAAACAAAAGAATAAAAGTATGAATCTTTAAATTAATAAAGAGATAATAGTAAAATCAAAAATCCTTTTTCTTTTTGAATTGTTAAGGTTCACAGCGTGTTAAGTTACATAATTTGTCACGTCATAGATAATTAAAAAGAAATGAACGAGGATACATAAAGAGATAAACTACAAAAATAGCAAATTTAAAGTAGATATTTATTTTTCAAGAAATTTAACACTTCTGTGAAATTCATGTCGTCAAAATAGAAGTAGATTCCAAATGTTGACTATAGCATATGGTGAAGCTACCTTGAATCGAAGAGACAGACGAAAACATTGATGAAGTGAAGAAAATAATATTGACCAATCGTCGAATCACCGTTAGAGAAGTTGCTGAGGACCTAAACATATCGATTGGCTCCTGCCGTTCGATTTTTACTAATGATTTGGACATGAGAGGAGTAACCGCAAAATTCGCACCGAAATTGCTTTCGACCAAAAACAGCATCGCATTAACATTGCTAAGGAGCTATTGGACTCTGTCCGCGACGACCCAAATTTGCTTCAGAGGGTTATAACTGGTAATAAATCACGGGTTTATGGTTATGACGTAGAAACCAAAGGTCAATCATCCCAATGGAAGCTGCCGCACGAGCCAAGACCGAAAAAAGCGCGCCAAGTTAAGTCGAATGTGAAGGTTTAACTTACAGTTTTCTTCGATCGCAGGGGCGTGGTGCCACAGGGTAAGTTATGCGCAATTTACGCTAAGCAATCCGCCAGAAATTCCCGGATTTGTTGAAGAACAAAAATTGGCTTTGAACCATGAAAGCGTCTCTGCTCACATCGTTGCTTGAGAGCGAATTTTTGGCCAAAAACAACACTCTAATAATAGAGTGCAGCCACCGTTTTCCCCAGATCTGGCCTCCTGTGACTTTTTCTTGTTCCCAAAACTGACGAGGCCCATGAAAAGATGACGCTACGCTACGATTGAGGAGATAAAGGCGGTACTGAAGGAGAAACTGAACAAGATCACAAAAAATGATTTTCTGAGGTGCTTCGAGGATTGGAAAAAACGTTGGCACAAGTGTATAATATCTAGTGGGGATTACTTTGAAGGGAACAAAATAGATATTCATGAAACAATAAATAATTTTTGAAAAAACACAAAATTCACGATACTTTTTGGCTAGACCCCGTATATTATTCCATTAAAATAAAAAGGCTTTTAGTGGACAATTTTGCAAAGTAAGGCGACCCAAAAAATGTTGAGCGAATGTCAGGCAAGCTATCCAAGGCTTTTACTTTGATAACATGTTTGTCTTTTTAAAAACAAGGTGAAGGTAGTTAATTGGATCCTATTCAAAGTCAAAAATGTTTCTAAACTACTATGGTTTTTGTACAAATTACGTTATTATTAACCCTCGTAGATAGAATGGTAGGTATAGACGCCCTTCTTAATCATTTCAAGAATCGTGGTTTACTATACCCCTGCGCGTAAAGGAGATTAATTGTTTTAAATCGTCCTCAGTAAATTGTTGGGATAAATAATTTCATAAGCCCCGTTTAATAATTGCAGGGTGGTAGAGATTCATGTCAAGGTGACTCAGGAGGACCCTTGACAATGACCGTCGAAGGGCGCAAAACGCTGATTGGACTGGTGTCGTGGGGCATTGGATGTGGCAGGGAACATTTGCCGGGAGTTTATACAAACATCCAGAAATTTGTGCCTTGGATGGACGCAGTAATGGGATAAAGTTGGAATGTCAGATTGAGACAAAACGTGCCAACTAGTGTGGACATTATTTGCGGAGGTAGAATGAAGACTACCAAGGCATACAAATAATTCAGTTATTGTTCACTGAAAAGCAAATATCTCCCCCCTCAAATCATACAAATTCCATTTAACATTCTTGTCATCTCAAACAGCATCAGCTACCTTCATTAATATCAACGTAGAAAAAGATATATCGATGTAAAACCGGTAAAAGTTTATCACAAAATAATATTTATTTGTTGTCTGGGAATCGTACAGCACACAATACCTTTTTAAGAATACCAAGACAAAGTTATCTAATAATTAATAATTATTTATTACTAATAAATTATTTGTTAATAACTAATCGCAGTTGACAGTTAGTACCTAATCAGGGCTTAGTTGGCATTACAGTAAAAGAAGGATGCATTCATTCTTAAATTGTTTTTTTTTTATTTCAAATACATACTTATGAAAATATGGAATATTTCGCAGTTCGTTTCAATGCATCGATTTATTCGATTCAAATTTTGAGTATAATACAATTATTCGAATTGAAATTTTGGCAAACTCACACATCTCTGGATGATGGAATTTCGAAAAAAATCAGAAACTTTAATTTTACAAAACAGTCGAAAATTCTACAGATAATCGTAGATACTCAAACAGGTGTGTATATTGAAAACCAAATATCCCCTGCGAAAATAGAATAACAAAATTTTAATTACCATCATACAAATAATAAACAAATTACGCCCATCGCGGTTTGCTAACATAAATTTATAAATATGGAATGAACTTATTGTATATTTTAAAATTTTATTTGCAGTGGTTGATAAATAAGTAGCTAGAAATTATATGATTTCTGTCTCACTAAAGTTGACTGAATCAGCTAAAATATGTATTTTTGTGAAAATGACGAAAACCTTTAAGAAATATCTAATTTTCCTGACTGAATGAGAGATCCTAAAATTATACACATTTTCTAAGAGGCATTTTTTATAATGACATGAATTCGCATGCTGAGTCAACTTCACTGAGACAGGATTGGTGTATGTATGCTAGAGGTAATTCAGAATCTCATGAGCTTTCATCTTATTTTATGCAGTGATCAGGATTGTATCCGTCCATTAATTTCTACCTCTCAATAGCATTGGCTGTTATTTTCTACACTTTATTTGAAGCTTCCCCAGGAATACATAACGAGGCACGTACATAATTAAGAGCCGAGCCAATGTTTTTGTGAATATGAATGCAGTAAAATCTGCCTCTCACGCATTTTACGGCTCATGAGATTTTGAAATACCTCTACGGGCGAAGTCCATAAGGTGCACATAGATCATCCGGACGGTGTCAATCTTCCTAATTATCATCGTAGATTATGGCTAAGATTGTCCTGTTTCTACATAAGATGGACATCGACTGTAGCATATAAAAATGTCGCATCCCTAAGTGGAAGTATTACAGGCTTATGAACCTGGTAAAAGCATCCTCAAAATAAAACACCTTTAATACTTACAGAATAACATTTAATTTTCAATGAAACTTCCTAACCAATTAAATTTGTTTTGTCAAAACAATGGACTTATTACATACGTAAAGTAACAAACGACTAAAACAGTTTCCTTTAAATCGACTTTCAAGAGGATTAGAGACATAGGGGCGCAAATGGATAACGCGAGCCGTAAAAGCATCACAAGCTGTGTTCGGAGATGACAAGCTGTAAGTCGCTGCGCAGAGAGACAGTGCGCATCTGATTATGTTTACTTTTCGGTGCGTTCGTTTACCTTTTGTACAGTTTGCTTTGTTTATGCCCCTTTCTCTAATATCTCTGGATTTGTTTTTATATAGAAATTAATTAACCCAAATTATTATACCAATGTTATACTTAATAATAATTTGCACTTTGTTTATCAATTTTATGAAAAATATTTAAAAATACTAAACGAACAAAAAAATTACACTAAAATAATCACATCACACGACATCATATACATCAGGTAATATTGTTAAGGGTAATCAACAAAATGGTAACGTAACACATGAGATTGCCTACAATTAGGTAGTAACAAATCATGGATTACTATTATTGTACCTCTTATAGAGTCTATTTGCGTAAGTAATGTTTGTACTATAATACCTAATGTTTAAAATGCAAAGAGGAGCAATTCAGTATTATAAATAATTGCTAATATAAAAAAGTGATAATAGTAAATATGTATTTATATCTATTTATAAAATATAATTATTACATGTAAGTTTTTATTTGAATAAATTTATCGTTATTATAGTCGCATTTTTAATACCTTTACCCTTTCAGTTATTTTTTATTTCTTTTTAGCAAAATTTTTAAAAAGTTAAACAAATAATTACTAGTAAGAATAGAAATAGTATTATTGGATAACATCAACTACATAATCATCAAAATTTCTGGTCAACCTAACCCAAACCTTCTTTATTAAAATTGTTAATTTAATAACTAATAATTTTCACCAAACATTTATTGATCAATTATTGTATAAGCCACAGGAAATGTAAATCAGGATTAAATGTGCACAAAAATTAAAATCAAGAGGATAAAGAATAATGACTACAAAATGACGTCCTCATTTTCATAGAAGAGTTACGTGATTTTAAAAATACGTAATTCAATTATGAGAAAATTTCTTCCCATTCCTTCTTCTCTTACTAAAGATAAGTAGCGGTTGAAATGTGTCAAGTTTATTACATATGTCATTAAGAAAAGGATCATTAGCATTATACTGTTGTAGTCCGAAGAAAATCCTTTCAAATTGACTTTCTTTTTGTAGGATGATACTTCGTGGAAAAATGGCAATTAACCCGGTACATAGCAATTTTATTAAATATGTCACTATCTAAGCTATATTGACCTCAATGTACTTGAAGATTGGAATGACATTAATTAACTAACGTTATTTCTAAACTATGATCTAAATAAAAGAGAATAAAGTAATAATAAAGTAAATAAGCTTGTGTGCTTGTATAATTGTGAAACATTTTAATCAAAGTATAAAGAGTAATAACTATCTGCAACCTATGAAATAAAACAATATTTTTTTTCAATAAATACTTACATTGTTTTGCACTGTTTCTTTTTTTTACCCTGAATAAAAAGACCCACTAAATGTGGTTTCGTCCTAACTGTTCTTTCAAGGTAGAATTATTTGCAGATTCCTTGTCTATTTGTAGAACGTTAAGTTTTATTAGTGTTTTAATTATAATAAATTGCGATTCATTATAATTATTAGCTTCAAATAATTAAATTTGATTAATTTCTACATGTGTTACGCACAGGTTTCATTCCTGACTGCCTATTGATATCTCCACATCAAAATTATATCTTCCAATTAGTTATATTTATACCGTATATTATGCCGAAAAACTTTCATCAGTGTGCTTTGGTAATACAGTCGACTCTCGTTCATTTAAACCTGCGATAATTCGAACCTTTCTATAAGTCAAAGTTATCACGAGTTCCTTACAAAATCTCTGTATATTTCGAACTAAATCAATACATTTTTATGCACTTGGTAATTCGAACGAAAAAATCATTGCTACCTAACAAAACGATGCGTTAATTCGAACTCATCGGCGTGAAACACTCGACAATTCAATGTTGCAGAGAGAAAGAGACAGGAAGATTGTGAGTACATACATTTTGAGGCAAATTCAAACTTGTATCATCGTATCGTCGAGCTTTGTTTTTGTTATGATTAGTTTAATACACACTTCCGCACGAATTGGTTTGTTTAGTTATGTTTCAGCTACTGTTACTCTTTCGTTCTATACAGATTAAAAGTTTGCGTTAGTCCTAAAAAATATAAATGCTTGACGATTGCTGAAAAGAAGAAGTTGATCAAAAAAGCAAACCAGTATAACAGAGTTCTTTCGAAAGATTAATTAATTCGCATTAGGAATATGTACACGAATGTACCTATAAACTTTTGTCATTGTTAAAGAATAGCAGTTAATAAATAATAATTGATCAACACTTAATAATTCCAAGTTTTATTTATTTTCTCTCAAAAATTTCGAACGAGAGTCGACTGTATTTGAAAAAAAAAAATTACTGACAAGCAAGAGAATAGACATTTAAATATAGCTAGAACAAATTAATTCGTCTACTTTGACTTGTAATTGAATCCGAAAAAATTCTATATTTAAAAAAAAAACTTGCGTGTTTTTTTGGAAGGAAGAGTAAAATCGAACAAAAGAAATATTCGCTTCAATAACTTGCGCTTCTATTACGCAGAGGCTTCTTTCCCGAGAGCCTATTAATATCTCCACATCAAAACCGCTGTTTATCTCTGTTTACAGTATGTTTATATATATTTATACTATCTATAATGCAAAAAACCTTATCAAGTGGATCGTGATAAAATTTGAAAACATCGGCGAAAGAATTAGCATTGAAAATATATAATAATTATATTAAAACGATACCTGTGTGCCAAAAAAGAACAAGGAGATAATCGTTTCTTACGCCGAGGTTTCTTTCCTGACTGCGTATTGATATCTCCATATAAAAACTGCTGTCTATCTCTGATTCTAATATATTTTTACATGCTGTGCTTTGAAATCAGTTATACTTAGACTATGAACTATACAAAGAAAACCTTTCGTAGGTAGCTTAGAATTTGAAAGCATCGGTAAAAAAGGGTAAGCATCTACTTTGATTTGCAGTTGAAGTCGAAATGCAGGTTTTTCTTCCAAAATTAAAACGATAACAATATTTTTTTTTCATTTTGTAAGGAAGGCTAAAAATGAACACGAAGATATTTCTATCAAAAACTACGTAAAGGTTTCTTTCTTGACCGCCTATTGATATCTCCACACCAAAAGTGCTGTTAATCTCTATTTCTGGTCAATTTTTAAGTGTTATGCCTTGCAGTTAGTTATACATATACCATATATTATGTAAAAAAATGTTATATAAGTAGATCGTGGTAAAGTTTGAAGACATCGACAAAAGAA